GGAGGGAAGAGGGAGGAGGGAGGGGGAAGAGGAGGGAGGGGAGGGAGGAAGGGAGGAGAGAGGGTAGAGAAGAGTTTCCTTTCCTACAAGGATGCTCACTTTGGGTCCAGTGAAACACATCATTATTGATTATTATTGATCATTATTGGTCATTCTTGATCATTATTGGTCATCACTGATCATTATTCTCCTTTCTAAACCTTTCCTGCAGAAGACTTTGCTAGACTAGCTCTTCTGATGCTCTCTAAATCCTGCAATTCATGCGGCAGTTGGTAGACTTTGGGCCAGGTAAGTCAGAACCAACAGCTTGTATGTAACGTATAATATATAAAATACATAGTATAGGCAATATATAATATATAACATATATTATATATCCTATCTCTTATGGTCTATATAACATAATTTTAATATATTATATAATGTACTAACTATATAATATAAATAATATATATTATATTACATGTATTATATTAATATTATTAGAACACACTAATATATTATATGAATAGATACTATCTGAATCATATAATATATACTATACTAATTATAGATATTCTATACTATTACATAAATATTACAGTGTATCATTTGTTATATAATATATATCATATATTCATATGATATATCATATATTCATATGATATATCATCTATGTATTATACATGATACATATTATATTTGTATATTCTATAATATCTTATAGCTATGCATATATCGTATATATAATATAGACACACCAGCCTTGAGCACAGAAAGTTCGGGGACAGCTCCCAGGCCCTGAGTTCAAGCCCCAGGACCAGCACAAAACCAAAACCAAACCCAGAATGTGTTATCTGACTAAGATCGGGGAGCTGTTTTTCAGCGTTGGGGGGGGGTGTTGCAGTTTATAAATTCTCCTGCTGGAGTGAACCGAATGCAATCTTCCTAACAGTCACTACTCAAAATGCAGGTTGGAACCGCCCAGGCCCAGGCTTAGATAACGCGCAGCAGAGAGTGGACGGAATAGCTCTGCAGGGCGCTGTGGGAAGCGTTTGCTCTCTGCCTCTCTGTCAACAAGCAAGGAGACCTGTAATAATAATTCATCTGGAAAGGGAGCGATTATTGATCGCTATAAGTAGGGATTTGCTAAAATGGCATGCATCCAGACAGGAGATTTTCCCCTTGTGATTAGCTATACGGTTATTAGCATGTAAATATTTTCAAGCCTTCTGAGTTTTAAACTAGACCCAACTGCAGTTCAAATGGTATTTAAGCCGGGCACCGACTGAGGATCACATTTCAAAGCCAGCCTGGGCAGGAAAGTCCGTGAGACTCTGATCTCCAAGGAACCACCAGAAAACCGAAAGTGGCGCAAGTGGTAGAGCGCTGGCCTTGAGCTCAGGGACAGCACCTGGGCCCTGAGTTCAAATCCAGGACTGACAATACAAGACAAACCCAGAGCATTTGGAAATGTCTACATTTCGTGGGAGTAGCTAGCAATCGTACTTCTCTGGAATATGCAGGCTTCTCTATTACTAGAGAGTTCTAGATATAAGACGGGTTGGCTTGAGATTTTTGCAATTTATGGTTGCACAACAGTTACAGGCTTGCAGGAGAGAGCCATACTTTGACTTCTGATTCTCTCCGAATCATGTGCTCGTGCATTGTTGGTGGATACTGGTTAGCTGTACAAGCGAGCTCATCATCCAGAGAATGGCAGTCCACTGCAGACAAATGAGGCTCAATACCCACATTGTTACCCAACACTAAACGTTGCTTCACAACTCCACAACCCCAAATGCCAAGGCATTATGCCACTTAGAAAAATTAAAGAAAACCAGGAGCTGGGCAGGTGGCTCCGTGGTAGAGCGCTCGCCTAGCATGCATGAAGCCCTGGGTTCGATTCCTCAGTCCCCCTATACAGAAAAAGCCGAAAGCGAAGCTATGGCTCAAGTGGTAGAGCGCCAGCCTTGAGCAAAAAAGCAGCTCAGGGACAGCGCCCAGGCCCTGAGTTCAAGACCCAGGATTGGCTAAAATAAATACATAAATAAAAGCAAAAGAAAACTAGGAATTAGTCCATGGTGTGTTAAAAAAAAGAGAGAGAGAGAGAGAGAAAGAAATGATTTTTCTTTTCCAGCAAAGAAGAGTGCATATCGCTCTGTGGAATACCGAATTTCCGATCTGAGAGCCGTGCATGCACGGAGATGGGCTGCTATCCGCAGGATCGCGGTCCGACCTTGCACCGACCTTGGTCCTTGCCTGTGGAGAGGCAGCCGTAGGTGATCATCCGCAGGTCCAGGCCTTCCTGCAGCCACATCCTGTCCATGGCTTCCGCCAGCTGCAGGACCAGCATGTCCTGACGCAAGTCATCTCCTGTCTGGAAAGAACAAAACAGTACCTTCTGGGTTGTTCTAGAAGCTTCCCTTAAAAGCCTGCTCACAAGCCACTGTGATTTTTCCCTTGGATACATTTCCAACCTGACTTAATGTGATTTGGTTGACTTTTTTGACCAGTCCTGGGACTTGAACTCAGGGCCTGGGCGCTGTCCCTGAGCTCTTTCACTCAAGGCTGGCGCTCTACCACTTGAGCCACGGCTCCACTGCTGGTTTTCAGGTGGTTTCTGGGAGATCAGAGTCTCACGGACTTTTCTGCCTGGGCTGGCTTTGAACTGCGATCCTCTAGATCTCAGCCTCCTGAGTGGCTGGGATGGCAGGCGGGAGCCACTGGTACCTGGCAGAGCTGACTCTGGGCTTCAGGCTCCGTTTTCCTGCCTGCCTATCACGCCGTGAGCACTGTTCCCTCTCCTTTCCCTCCCCGGGGCATTCTAGAAGAAGGTCGAACTGGTCCCTGTGCACATCTCATTTTACAAAGTGCTTGCTCAACTAGGCAAGCACTCAACAGAGAAACTTCCCACGCCGAATCCGCTCCGGCCGTCTGAGTTCTTGCTCATTTTCATGCTCACACCGTTAGGATCGGGGCTGACAGCAGCGTCTCCTCAGAGGCGTTCAACCCCACCGCGGGGCTTCTGTGCCGATCACGAGCGATTGCACGCTTTCCCCTGATGCTCGGCACCAAGGATTGCCCGGCCCTGAGCCAGATAGTATATCATTCTGGAAAGGAGGAGGGGGAAGAGGAGGAGGAAGAGGAGGAGGAGGAAGAAGAAGAAGAAGAAGAGGAGGAGGAGGAGGAAGAAGAGGAGGAGGAGGAGGAGAAGAAGAAGAGGAGGAGGAGGAAGGAGAGGAAGAGGAGGAGGAGCAGAATAAGGAGAAGAAGAAGAGGAGGAGGAGGAAGGGGAGGACGAGGAGAAGAGGAAAAAAGAGGAGGAGGAACAGTAGGAGGAGGAGGAGGGGGAGGGGGAGGAGGAGGAGGAAGAGGAGGAGGAGGAGGAGGAGAAGAAGAGGAGGAGGAGGAGGAGAGGAAGAGGAGGAGGAGCAGAATAAGGAGAAGAAGAAGAGGAGGAGGAGGAAGGGGAGGACGAGGACGAGGAGAAGAGGAAAAAAGAGGAGGAGGAACAGTAGGAGGAGGAGGAGGGGGAGGGGGAGGAGGAGGAGGAAGAGGAGGAGGAGAAGGAGGAGAAGAAGAGGGAAAAAGGAGGATGAAAAGGAGGAGGAGAGGAAGAGGAGGAGGAAGAAGAAGGAGGAGGAGGAGGAGAAAAAGAAGAAGAGGAGAAGGAAAAGGAGAAGAAGGAGGAGGAGGAGGAGGAAGGAGAGGAAGAGGAGGAGGAGCAGAATAAGGAGAAGAAGAAGAGGAGGAGGAGGAAGGGGAGGACGAGGAGAAGAGGAAAAAAGAGGAGGAGGAACAGTAGGAGGAGGAGGAGGGGGAGGGGGAGGAGGAGGGGGAGGAGGGGGAGGCATGATCTCAGCAGGGGTGTCATCTCTGCTCTGCTGGGGCAGGTCACCGCAGGGCCGTGCACAGGGGGTCACTGGGCCTTGGAGGCCGCTACTGTACCTTGAAAATAATGCCGAGGCTTCTGCCCGTCGGGTTTGTGTTGATGGCAGAGATCTTCAGGGGCAAAGCATGGGATGTGAAATACGAGCATTTCTACAGGGGCCATGGAAGAGAGGGAGAAAGCCAGCGATCAGAGCGAAGCAAACTCAAAGCCTTGGCTCAAGCCTCCGCCCCTGGCGGAATCCGCTCGATGGGCTGTTTCGAGACTTTGGCATGAAGTTTATTGCATTCCATTTCTCTTCTGTGCCAGTCCTGGGCCTTGAACTCAGGGCCTGGGTGTTTGACACTGAGCTTTTTTTTTTTTTTCTTACTCAGAGCTGGTGCTCTACCACTTGAGCCACAACTCCATCTCTCGCTTTTTTTGGGTGGTTCATTGGAGATAAGAGTGTCACAGACTTTCCTCCCGGGGCTGGCTTCAAGGTCTTTCAGGTCTTTCTCTGCATAGAAGGTGGAATATTCCAGAAATGAAGCAAATAATTCCCAAGTGTTAAATTGCTATAGCATTCTGAGGAGAGAGACCTTCCAGCAGCCCACTGCCGGTACTAAATCACTGCTTTGTGCAGCCCGTCAACGCTATAGATGCACTCACCAACCATTAGCTAGCAGCTTAGACAATTACACAAGATGGTGCTTCTACCCCGTGACCATTATTTTACTAAATGATGAAAGCAGACAGGCTGGGTTATTTTGCTCCCATATATTGTTATTGCTCTTCTATTTGATCAGTACCTATAAATATTGTCTATCTGTCATCGTACCTTTATCCTAGACAGAGGGAAGAAGACACGGCTAATGCAGAACATGGCCCCATCTGCACAACGAGCCCTTCCCTGGGGAATTTGGACCAGGGTCCCCGAGGATAAAGGAGAATTGATTGTCCCTGCAATGGACAAGTTCAGCTTGCGTCTGGTACGTTAGAAACGTTCAACTGTAGCTTTTCTTCCTTGAACCACAGTGACCCGCTCCAAGTCAAATCACTGAGCAGGAAGGAGACATGTCTAAGCCCGCTGACTAATAGGAGGTCCAAGTTCCTATTCCTATTTTTTAAAACAAGACCTGCATTCAAATCGGGGCTGTATAACACATTTTCTAGACTATATCAAGTGAGTCATGTCTCCTTCCTTCCTTCCTTCCTTCCTTCCTTCCTTCCTTCCTTCCTTCC